GGCGAGAGTGCGATTTGTCCCGGTCCGTCGCAACCCTCTGCGGAGATCGTGCGTGTCGGATGCGCGAAATGCAGGCGAGAGTGCGATTTGTTTCTGTCCGTCGCAACCCTCTGCGGAGATCGTGCGTGCCGGATGCGCGAAGTGCAGGCGAGAGTGCGACTTGTCTCTGTCCGTCGCAACCGTCTGCGGAGATCGAGTGCACGAAATGCAGGCGAGAGTGCGATTTGTCTCTGTCCGTCGCAACCCTCTGCGGAGATCGTGCGTGTCGAGTGCACGAAATGCAGGCGAGAGTGCGATTTGTCCCGGTCCGGGACAACCCTCTGCGGGGATCGCGCGTGTGGAGTGCGCGAAGTGCAGGCGAGAGTGCGACTTGACCCGGTCCGGGGCAACCCTCTGCGGGGATCGTGCGTTGAGAACTGGCGACTTTGTAGTACAACTTTACTACGCGGAGCAATCTGTGGAGCTGGAAGCTGAGAACTGGCGACTTTGTAGTGCAACTTGAGTACGCGGAGTATCAGGGGAGCTGGAAGATGAGAACTGGCGACTTTGCAGTGCAACTTTAGTACGCGGAGTATCTGGGGAGCTGGAGGGTGAGAACTGGCGACTTTGTAGTACAACTTTAGTACGCGGAGTATCTGGGGAGCTGACTTTGTAGTACAACTTTAGTACGCGGAGTATCTGGGGAGCTGGAAGATGAGAACTGGCGACTTTCTAGTGCAACTTTAGTACGCGGAGCAATCTGCGGAGCTGGAAGATGAGAACTGGCGACTTTCTAGTACAACTTTAGTACGCGGAGCAAGCTGTGGAGCTGGAAGCTGAGAACTGGCGACTTTGTAGTACAACTTTAGTATGCGGATGAGTCATCTCTCGCGGCTGAGTCATCTCTCGCGCCACCCGGCTCTCTTGAGAGGTTGACAAATTTTAGCTACTTTGCTTACTCATAAGTGGCTGCCACAAAAGAGTCATTGTGACGTTAGTATCTGTGTACTTCACCTTAAGACAAACGATGTTCGCTTGGAATACACGAGTCCCTTGTCATGATCGTGACGTCGTTTACTCTCAGGTCGCCCTGTTCGTGGAAACTTCAGTGTGAAATGTACGTTCTTCAGTTCTAATTGAACCTCTTCAGCGTTGCGCTTGCGCAACTAAGGTTGACGTTGCGCTGCTGTTGCATCGACGCATCTACGTCTACACCCCCTCACCTCTCTACATTTACATCTTCACACGCTCACATCCGCAGATCTACCTCTCCACCTCACCACACCCACGCATCTGCACATCTATATCACATCTGTACATCCACTACAGATCTATATCACACCTGCACATCCACACTGTCACTCCTTCACATCCACCCTCTCTTTCTTTCTTTCTTTCTTTCTATACATCTTTTCGACAGTGCTGGACAATTACATGTCTCGCTCTAGGGCCAACCGTCGTCGAGTTTTTTGCACATTTTGTTTCTTGTTTTGTTACTTGATACTTGATATCACTTGCCTTTTCAAAGCTCCAAACGACTCCTCAGGCCTCTCGCCTGGCTGGTGGCCTCATGAGCAAAAAGTCCTTGGAGAAGGCCTTGCCAGGTTTGTGAGCCAACAAGAAGCATACAAATTGATCAATGCAAGAAGAGGCCTGCCGAGACTAGCAAAGCGTTACCATTCAGATGCTGCATCATTTTGCAGATGAGTTGTCCAGGTTTGGGTGCATCCTTCCAAAGTGAGTGAAGGAAGAAGGTTCCTCTGCAGTTTTGACGTTCCGAGTTCAAGGGACGATGTCTTTCCTTCCAACAAGAAACTACTAGGAACAAAGGGCATTGCTACTAAGAGCAAAGAGGCTACTAGTAGCATTCTTACTACTAGTAACAAAAAACTACTAGGAGCAAGGGCGTTACTACTAGTAAACTAGTAACAAGAAACTACTAGTCGTTCCTCTGCTTAGTTTTGACGTTCTGTTCCGAGTTCAATGGACGATGTCTTTCCTTCCTACTTCCTACCTGAGTGCTCTTCCGCGTAGGAAATCCTTTCTCACTGCCTGTGCCTAGTTGCAAGTGAGCGAATGATTTTGACCAACAAATGGCAATGCTTCGGAACATCACCCCTTGTCGTTTTTTCCTTTCCCGTCTAAGCAGCTGGCGATCTTGACAAGCAACCTTTCTTTTTAGGCTGGTCATTCAGTTGTGGGATCTTGCTTTAAACAGCTTGACTTGAAGGATCGCTGCGGTGGGCAAAGTAAAGTTTTCCTAAAATATCTAGGAACCAAATCATTAGTGAGCTATCCCGCGTCCCAGCTAGGAGTGAATCCCTTAACTAACTTAATTAAGGAGGGAGGCAGGGCCACGGGCTCTAAGAAAACGGCATTCATTGCCCATTGGCCTGTGCCGCCCATGAATAATTTGGAGCAAACTGTTCGTTGAGGCTTTGCCCATTTGCGCAGCAGCTATTTGAAGATGCTTCGGTACGCCAGCATTTGCAGTTTTCTAGTGTAGCGTGCTTCAAGCTCAACTGAAAGTTGCAGGGATCGTGACGATCTGGCAATTCGCTGTGTTTATTGTGCTTATCGTGTTTCCTGCAGGTGCTACCCAAGTTCTTGGGTGGCTCTAGAGATGCAGATGAAGGTGCTGTAAGCCAGCTGTGCATGTGTATTTTGTGCCTTTTGCCTGGTCATATCACTTTCCTTGTTTTCTTTGTTTGACAAACAATGGAGCTTTTTTGCTGAACAGCGGATTTTAACACATTTGTTTGGGCACAGAAGGGAGTCGTGTTCATCAGTCACATGACACGAAAGGATGTCGGGCAATTTAGAATTGACAAAGGCGTAAGATGGCGTAAGTGTTTGCAAAGTCTGTGTTTGTTTTGTGTGAGCTATCCTGCGTCCAGTAGGTACTGGGTCCTTGACCTTTCTCGTGCCGCGTCGCGTGAAGTCGTGCCACGGCCAGTGTGCCTTGCAGAATGGCATGCTCCAGGCACACGCGTAGTAAAATGCGTGTGTGGTTCATCTTCAGTACATAAATCTAATCGCACTGGCACAGACAAGACCATGTATGTTCTGAATCAATGGTTTACTGCACGGTCTTTATGCTAATCGCAATGGCATGCTTGAGTGCAGTGCACCGAGAGCATCTAAACGCAACCGCAGTGGCGCACCATACGTTTGGACCAACTGTGGAAGTGCACACAGCCGGCGTAACATCGTTGGGTGACTTCCTGCTCTTGTGGGTTGACTTGTTTTCATCGGTCTGCCGTGCGGTGGGCTGACTTCCGGTTGTGTGTGCTGCGAAAGGTCGAGCGTTCGTAGTAGCTTATTTAGCCCTTGACTATTTAAGTAGTAGGGGGGCAGGACGGGCAAAAAAGCAACAGACTGGAAAACAGACATGGACGTATGTCAGAGCCATGGAGTAAAATACTGTTTGCAAAGTCTGTGTCCTCAGGATAGGAGTTCAAGTTGATTCCTCCAGCCACGTGCCAGCTTTTCCATCGGAGCCCCGCAGCGCGGCACGGCATGCTGGAGAACTGCCAATTCTGGTGCATTCCCAAGAAGTTTGTTCGTTCATGATGTGTTCTATTTGTGCTGGTCTTTGTTCTGCTTGCAAGACATGGCCATGTATGCCATTGTTGTGTTGAACCCAGGCTGGCTTACCAAGGCCGCAGGCAGCGGTCTAAATATGAGAGATCAAGTCTTTCCACTTCGAACGACTGCGTGAGCATCGTGTGCAAGCTGTTGTTGCATCAGGCATCCTACGTCATCTCTTTCAGTCCACACTGGCGATCTGATTTGGATGCTTTTATGGAGGGGAAGACGGAGGACTACGTGATTGTAGACAGGCCACGATTTTGTGGACAGTGTGACAGCACATGGAAAAAACATGAGTTCATACAGTCTTAAAAACATTTCCCCATGCTTGCACAAGCATGAATTGTGAAAGAACTCCTTGATCCAGGGATGGCCATGACATTCTGCTTGACCAGCTGGAGAGCCCTTCCAGTGATCGATTTCCCTTGGAGATCAGACTCCAGGAGGGAGAGCTTGGTTTATTTCGCCTCAACTAGCAGTTGAAGGGCCACAACTGCGACACATAAATGTTTTATTGCTTGATTCAGATGTCAACTGGAAGGTTGAGAGACAGGTGTAATTCTTGCTTTTCAGAGCGACTTGAAGACTTGATGGAATCTTAACAAAGCACATTGCAGCTTTCTAAGGCCTGCTTTATTGTTTATTGTTTTTCCAAGTTTGATGTAATGCTCATGCTGGGCGCAGGACAGAGGTGTGCTTGGCACCTGTGATTCGGCGTTTGCTTCCGCTATTTGTGAATCTGCAAGATCTTTGGAAGGCTCCAAACAGGCCATCCGGAAGAGCGTGCCACTGACATAATGGCCCGAATTAGACACAGATCCACTCGTATTTTCTCAGAGAAGGTCCTATTCAGCTAGCTGTTAGTAGTTGTCTCCAGTTGAGCCTCAGCTTGGGAGTAGGTGCGAGTGGATTTCCAGTCTAGGAGCAGATTCGGACATGATTCGAGCCTTTGACTTTGAAATGTCACTTTACTATGGCATTGCCTCAGCCAAGCCAGATATGCACTCTAGGATGACAACTGCAAGTCTGCTCAGAGTCTGTTCAGAATCTCTCGCAGCCGACAGGGATCACATTTGGCCATGTCGATGTGTTCGGTGAACTCCTCAGAGTGCTAACATTGCTATCACCACAGTAACACTAGACTCGTAAGGAAGAAAGAACAATAAAGAAAGGAAAGAAAACAATACATGAGCAAAAGTTGAGTGTTCCTAAACATAGAGGAAGCTAGTCAATGATTCCGAATGGTTCTTTAAGGAAGTGGCTTTCTTGCTACTACAACTACAGTTACACTGATGCTACCTCGCTACTTCTCCCGCTTGTCTCTGGGCCTCCTCTCATGGCCTCCCCCTTGGAAAGTAGACTCTTTCCGAAGCATTGGAGTTTATAGGTCTTGGGCTAAAAAGACCTATATACAGTGACTACTCTGGAGGACTTCTTGTCTTGACAAAGCATGGTTTTCTGACAATGTTGGAACAGTCCCAAGTCCTTCCACATCCAACCCACACCTTTCATCAACGTTCTTTCTTTCAGGCAGTTACAGCCTTGGAGTTCCCTGTGCAGGACTGTGCCTTCACACAACTTCTACAGACATTGTACTTTCGGGATATACCTTTGTTTGGCTGAAGAAGACGTTTACGAAGGCAGTTTCCTCTCTTGTAAGTCTAACTGAAACGGTTCTAACTTCTACCTACTTTACTGTAGATTAGTTTTGCGGTTTGATTGCAGCTGCCCACTGGTGCTGCTACCACATTTGGGAACATGGACACATACCTGATAATGCCGACCAAGTAGTGACGAGTCAACGGTCTTGCGGAACTCCTAGAACATTTCTTCCGAAAAAAGCTTCTAATTCGCCAAGCTATGTCAAATTTGAGCTGCTGAAAGCAACTTGTGTCTTCATCTACATTTGGCGTTTCTTGCTTACCACGCTGTTGGAACGCTTGATTGGCTGGTTGGTAACATGCATCATGTGCTACCATTGCTATCATATAAAGATAAAACAATAAGGTGGTTGGGCCCCTGTTAAATTGACTATAAACAAACTGATTCACTTGTGGCATTTCAATCCAGGAGGTGCGGCAGTCATTCTGTAGAAGAGTCAGTGCCCGAGAACTGTGCGGATGTTAGACAATGACGACATGGTGCACGACAATGATGAAAGCGAAAAGAATAAAATCAGGAGCAAGGACGCTACTGGGGCTCCTGGCCTTACTACTAGGAACAAGAGACTACTAGGGGCTCCTGGCATCGCTACTAGGAGCAAAGGACGCTGCTAGGACGACATGAAAAGATCGTTTTTTGTCGCCTGCTTTTTGTGCAAGCAGGCGTCATTGGCGTCATGTTTTCTCCGAGGTTTGCTTCTGCTTCTTTGGCCGAAGATCCGAGGCAGAAGAGTTCAGAAAAATTGGGTTCTTCTGAGAACACGGGAACTACTGTTTTTTCTTAAATGATCTTGAGTGCAGTTTAAACAAAGAAAAGAACAGCTAAACTAGCCTCAAAGAAAGTAGAATTTGCAGAGTCCAGTTCGTCCAGATTGCATTCGAATACCTTTTGCTCGGGGAGCGGGTCAGAAGTTTTTCGCTTTGCTCGAACTGCTTCACTCGAACTGATTGTCGGTTGGACTGCTTTGCTCTTTGAGGCGTCTCTGCTCGCGTAGATGTGCAGCTGCGAGGTGGGAACGAGGTTGAGTTCCTTGTTGCCTTTACCACCTGCGGATGGGGCTGCCCACACGGCATGCACACACTCTTCCAGGTCACATTCTGTACACCAACCTGAGAGCTAACAATGCTAAAAATGCAACTGACTCTCTTTCCATCCCTAGCTAGAGCTAACAGCACAGGCTCTTAAGGCCATTTTTTTTGATGACTTGTCACCCCCATCTGCCACTTCTGTCCACGGTGCACTCGGGTTTTGAGTGAGCATACAACATATGTGTTTCTAACAAACATTTTTACAACCAGACGTTTGCTTTCAATCCGTCAGATCTTTCAAGTCCTGAAGACTACTGCACAGCTGAATCAGGAGGGGCCACTTGTGCAGACTGCTGTGTACAAAGCAAACCACTTGTGATGAGAGATGCTTTACATTTCTAGCTGCACCGATCCCAGATGCACTTGTGCACTGACTCAAAAGCACAGCTTCAGCCGGCATCGCGTCCCAAGATGGGCTCAGCGAGTGCCGAAGTCTCCTTTTGCGAAAAGATGAGCGCTGAACGTACGGCAAAGTCAGTTCAGAGACGAAGTCTTCAACAAACACATGAACGACCAAGGGCCTTTTCATGACGCAATCCGTCAAATGAGGTACAGGGCGTCTAGAGTCTAGCGGGAAGTCTTCTAGTTTGTCACGGGCTAAACTTGCATTCACTAGTCTAGAACTGTTTGACTTTGATCCTTTTGTGTGCTGTTTTCAAGACAGAATCCACTTGGATGACTGTGACTCAGTGACTGCAGCCCTTTCACTGCCCCCGGACTGCGTCGTGGACGCTGTGGACACGTTTCGTTTTTTGGGGCGAGAAAGAAGCATGGCTGCCTTTGCACGCCGCTTCGGACCACGTGAGGAACTCAGACGACGTCAAAGAACCTTTGCAACACTTTACGCAGTCAGACCGTTCGATCCTTTGCTCTGCAGAAAGCTGACCAATTTCTTCCCGAAAGAGGTGTAGGACACGGAGAGGTGTAGTCAAAGAATTCTCAATTTGAATGATCTGAACCTTTCTTCGTGACATCTTGTTGTTGGCAGCACTGTCAAGTGTCGCCATGGCTTTGCGTGTGCTGATTGGTTACCTTTGCCTTTGGAGCCTTGACAGCACCAAGAGATATTCAAAAGCATCCACGAGTAGCTGTCGGTGTAAAAATGAACTTAGCTAGGATGCCCAATAAGTTGCTGGACACGATTGCTGAAGGTTTGTATACATAGCTGAGTCTTTCCTGGCTCTATTCCAATGACGATGTACTATGCTGTTCTATGTCTTACGGACCCGCTTCTTTTTCAGGGTGTTGATGTGCGCAAGTCGTGGTGACACGCGACCTTTGCTTCAGGGCTTCACCCAAGTGTCTGACGCCTTTGGTCACAGCCATGTCCCGCCGGCCCATCCACCAGTGCCAAATTGGCTCCTCCAACCCAATAGCGATGGCCTCCAACCTAAGAGCGTTCTTGTTACTAGTAGCGATGCCCCTTGTTACTAGTAGCTTCTTGCTCCTAGTAGTAAGGCCAGGAGCCCCTAGTAGCGTCCTTGCTCCTAGTAGCGATGGCCTCCAACCAAGTAGAGCCCATACTTCTCAAATTTCCTCTAATCACCCCCCAACTTGCCTCCAACGGCAGCGACAGCGGGCCTTGTCTGTCAATGATGTCGAGATAGGCCTGCCTTACTCTGGTTTCCGCCCCACGGACTTCTACACATAATTGCTTGGGGCCCATGGCGAAACATTTTGGACACTGGAGGCGGGTGACATCACTGGGGCCCAGCATTTGTGGCAGCAAGCCAGATGCCGTAGCCCAGCTTTTGAAGGATGTGCAGATGAATATTGAATACTTTTTGGATCTTGAGCTGTTGCTTGTTGCCAGTGCTTTCTGCCGGCCTTCAGTGCGAGGTGCCAGGTTGTGATAAGCGCGACATGGGCTCCTGTGGCAACGCTTGTTGTGCTCCTCGGCAGACTGTGCAGGCAGAGAGCTGACCGAGTTATAAGCATTATGTGGTGCAAATCCAATCAACTGATGGATAAATTTAAAATATATCTTCCTAAGTCTTCCTAAGGATTCTGAAATGGTTCAAACTCTCCGAGCCCTGAAAGACCATGAAAGCAGCGCTTTAAGAGTGTCTTTGCTCTGAAGATTGCCAAGGTAGTAGAGGTGGCGCTTCCTTTGACCTCGGAGCAAGCATATCAAAGCACAAAAGATGCTTTGCAACGTCTTGGAGAGGAATCGGATCGTCTCTTGCACAGGTGTCGATAAAGTATTCGGCTCAAAGACAGCAAGAAACTCTAGTGTTTGTACACTTGCTTTCATTCGTTTGATTAGTTTTTTGTTGCCAGGACGGCTTTGAGTATGTGACGGGTGGAAGCCCGAACCCGGCGGAT